GTAAAATGGGCTGCCAGTGCCACCATGGCACATGGATGTTTCTGTGTGGCTCCATTAGGAGATACAACCTTCTGCTTTCAAGCTCAGTCCCTGCCCTAGAAAATATACTAGGCTGCTGCCAGAAAGAGCATTTGCCGTTTGCCACTTGATTTTCTGTTATCGCTACAATGCTGGATCATGGAGCAATGTCCGTCTAAAGTCCCTCTTTCCTGGTGGAAATGAAGCTGTACACTAACGCCCTGCCCCAAGAACGGCATTAGATTCTTATTAGTGCGCATTCAGGGACAGAAGATGTAAACGTATAAAGTATAGTTCACAGACTTCAACACCAAAGTGATTTGTAGATGCTGACAAACACAAACAAAACAACAGTGGCATATCCCATTCAGCTGGGCCTGTGACGATGCGTGGCAAAGTTTTGTGCAGCAAATACATAAAGGAAAAAATTCAAGCTGGAAAATACAGGTTTCTTGGTGATCTGTGCCCAGCTTACATCATGAACATTCAGTCATTGGGAGTTGAGAAAAGGACAGTTTGAGGCATCTGGAAACTTGAAGCCACCTATTCCCATGACTCCATTACTGCACGAGTTAGGATTGGAGAAGGAAAAAAAAAAGTATTGCTATTGCAGTCAGGATGTGTTCAAGGCCAGATGGAGAGTAGTTGGCCCAAACTAAAAATGGATACTGGATGCAAAGGGAGTCATGAGAGAGTAGACGAGATACATCCCTCTCCTTCCCCCAGCCAAAATCTCCCATTTTTCAAAAATAGAAAGTGTTTCAGCATTATCCTTATTGTCCCTCAAATTGTTGCTGATGAAGCAGCTTTAATGGCCTGTGACTATGTAGATGGTCAGGCGGGGTGCAGAATGCCTGTGTTCCGCTGCTACTCACTAGCAATTGCCGTGTAAAGGGCTGGTGCAAGGCTGAGCCGAGGCACATCAACAGAATTTCTGATGTTTCACAGTCCTGCCCATCATAACGACCTGGCCCATGAATCCACTCATGGCAACCTTCACCATTAACAAAGGGTGTTCAATTCCTGTCTGAGAAACTGCAGAGTATGTGCGTTTGATGCTGACAGAAAAAGGAAAGTCTTTCTCTAATGTTTGAGTCTGGCCATTGTTTTCTACTTCAGATCTTGTTTTCCTGCACAGCTCTGGTGAGAGCAAAGGATGGGAACAGAGAGCTGGGAGAGCCACTGTCACAAACCCAGCTGAAATGTGTTCTCTCATGCAAAAAGCCAGAAAGCATGAGGGATACCTTCAGGAGGCTACTCCCTGTAAAATCCTCAGGTACTATAGGCTGTTAACTTGTGAGTCATCGCTGTGAAAGCAAAAGACCTTCACTGTATGTCTCTCTTAATCATATCCTCCGACTTCTCCACTTTCCCTTCAGTTCTGCCTCCTCTCCAAACAGATTTCATGGATCTCACAGATTTCCAGTCTTCCAGGCATGCTGGTGGCACCACATCCGATGGATGCAGCAAAGGTGCATCTTTAGTGGGAAAAAATGAGGAGCACAGACTTCAGTTATGAGCAATGCTCAGCTGAGAGTTGGGCTGAGAGTGACCGGCTCAGTGTAATAGTCATGCAGCTGCAACAGTTCGTTCTACATTGTACTCATTTACCTGTTCACTTTGACCTTTCATTTACTCATTTACCCGTTGCCTTCAGAGAAACCTCTTAGCCTTTCATTTCAGCTGATTAGAAACAAAACTAATCCAAGTACTTCTTAATTAATTAATCAGGAACTTTCTTAGAGTGTTTTTCAACCATTCTTAAATGGTTTTAGCCTGTGGCCAGATGGTTACTCTCAGGTACTAAACAGATGATACACCAAAGTAGAAAGTCTCTTAGCTGCTCATGGCACCCGATATTTATGTTCAAACCTGTTCTGTCCACCCAGCTAGCATCAACTTAAATTCCTCTCAACAAAAATGGAGGGAAAAATCAGCTTTAAAGGAGTATGGTGGAGAAGAAAATGCTTTGGAGAAACTATTACACATGGTAATGTCTGCAGGAAGGAGAAAACCGAGAGGGAAGATGTGACTAAGAAGAACAGAGCTGTGAGACAGGGGTGTAATTACATCTAGTGCTGTCTGCAGATATGCTGAAAGAAAAGATTGGATATTGAAGAATGACACTTAACATAAAGGGACTGTAATGGGCTACTTGGCAATAGTAGAGAAAAGGCTAGAAAAGGACAGGGACTATCAGTTATTACCTGTGCTATTGTAACTATCAAACAGTAACTTGTCAATGTTTAAAAACGGATTGTGTGTGGTATTTCTGCCACTAGTCCAATATATATAACACCATTAACTCCATTAAAATAGGGGATTAAACATGCAAGACATAGTAAAATGCAGCAGTTACCCCCAGTTTTTAAAAGTGGTAGTAAAGGGGAGGATAAATATGTGGCTGTTACCCAGTGTGCCCTAAGGATGCAGTCATTAATGAGGACTTAGGAGGTTTCACTTTCCCCAGCTGTGCTTGCCCAGCCTTACCGGGCCACTTTCTGCAAGTTGCTTCTCACCCTCCCTGCTTCAGTTTCTCCATGAAAAGATTCTTATTTTACCAAATGGTTTGTGACTTACTATTGTAAAGCACTGTATGAGATCTAGTTATGAACCAGGAATTGCTCATAAAATGAAAATGTCCAGACAACAACTTAAGCCTAAGCAGACTCGTCCAAAAATCTTTTCTCTGTGCAGAGAAAAGTAAAGATGTAAAGAAAAGCTGTTTACAAAAGTCTCCGACAAAAAAAAAAAAAGAACAAAACAACCTAGGTTAATACAACGTTTGTCTGTTATTTCTTGTAGTTTTTCAGAATGCAGTGTGTGCCATTGCATGTACTTTCACTCTGCTCTTCCAGGCAGCGTACAGCTCCAAGGACTGTACACATGGCATCTGCAGGCTGCCCAAAGCCTTGCCTCTGCCAAGGCCAGTCCTGTGTTCAGGTGAAGCTGTGCTTAACAGAAACCTCCTACATCTATTCCTGATCAGTGCTGCAGTCTACTTCTCATGCATAGGCCGCTTCAACACATTTTTCTTTCTAAAGCCTAAAAATACCCTTTTAACGGCTTCTTAAAGGTCCTTTTAAAATTCTACACGCAGACCACACTTACTGCTGACAGCCTGCATAACCTGAAGAACTTTATGCACAGCGCTGCAGTTTTACACTAAGTCCACTAAAGCTAGCTATGAAAAGTGCACCGCATGCAAATTACTACTAGTGGCTCTCTTGAAGTATGTGTGGAGAACTGAGGTTTATATTTACCACTTCACATTCTAGTCTTCAGAGTTGAATTCCATTTACTTTAGCACTCTCAAAGGCAAAAAGGCAAAACTGTCCAATAATGAAAGTTCAGGTAGGCATCAAAATCCCTTTTTACCCATAGCATCTATTATTCAAAAACGAGTTTTGCACAGCAAAATCCTAAGTCCTCAGTAAATGCTTCCAAAGGCGTAAGCTTTGCAAGCACTCTCTCCCAAACCAAAAGTGGCTTTAAGGCAACCACATGAAGGTGTCTGAGCTCTTTTCACTTTACACGACACAAGGCGCAACTCAGGGCAGATTTGCAGGGACAGGATGTCTGATGGCTGCAAGTTGCCCTCGTAAGCCTAGTGAGCCCAGCAATGCCTAGTGGTGCATGCTTTTCTTCACAGCGGTCCAGGGGAGGTGACAGACCCCGGATTTCTTGGCCTGCGAGTTGGCTCTTGCCCTGCCGTGG